TAAGTTTTATAAGAAATCAGAATTTATCATAATCTTAATACTACAAAAAGGAGAATCAGTTTATTAAATTTATAATAAAACATAATGTATTATAACTTTAATATTAAAAAATCAGAACAAATGTATTTCGATTTACTAGTGTGAAATAAATATATTAGAATTTATAATAAATCAGAATTAAAAATAAGAAAAGAAAATATCAGATAACCTTGTAAAAACATCAAAATGCATAATAAATTAGTAAATCGTCATTTACTAATTTGTTATTGATCTTAGTTTCTTAGCTTTATATAATGGTTGGGAATAAGATAATAGTCTAGAAATATGTATTAATGTTTCTTTTATCATTTTACAAAATATCTTTGCATATTTCCACAATGTCTCTAATTTTTACAATATTTCCCCTCGACATTTCTGACATATGTCCTATATTTTGGTAAGCGACATTTCCATCGACGTCGACATCGACATTTTAAACCTTGGTTTTATCCAAACTGCTTAGCTTTGGGGAATTCCTGGGAGTTTCAATAAAAGGAATGGAAGAAGAAACTAAGGCTCTATTGGTTGCTTTGGAAAATAGACATCTAATGAAGAAAGAAAAACAAAACGGGAAACAAACAAAAGAACTTCTTCTTCTGACTTGGGGGTTGAATGAGAGGACTGGAAACATGGGAAGGAAAAGTAGATCTGCTCACCGTCAACTATGTATAACATTAAGATTTTATCATGGAACATTAGAGGGTTAGGATTTGGGAGGAGACGGATGGTGGCAGGGGACTTTATCAAAGAAAAGAGGTTGGATATCTTGTTGTTACAGGAAACTAAAGTACAGAAAGTAGATTTCTCTATCATAAGGAGTATTTGGGGTTTCCAGCCTTGTGAGTTGTGACTGGCTTTACATTCCAGCAGTAAATACAGCAAGGGGTGTAGCTATGGTGTGGAATAGCTCCAAGTTCACAGTGGTAGATAATCATATTGGAGTCTTCTCTATCACAGTGAAACTTTATTCACAGCAGATGGACACGACTCTCTTGATCTCTACTGTGTATGGACCCAAGCCGCCCAACAGCTCCTGCGTTATAGCCCTTATTATGGGAGCAGCTCAGTGACGTGAGATGTAGGTGGCCTGGTCCTTGGGTCATTGGAGGCGAATTCAATGCAACTCTGAGTTATGAAGACAGACAAGGTGTTAAAAGGTTTGGCATCTCAACAAAGTTTTTTTTTTCAGATTTTATGCAAAAATGGGGGATGCTGGACTTACCGCTGGCGGGTGCTCGGTTCACCTGGACCAATAACCAAGATTGCCCTTCTTTGGTGAGAATTGACCATTTCCTTACTTCTGTGGAATGGGAGGAGATGTTTCCTCAGTCATCACAAGAAGCCCTTCCGAAAGTAGTTTCCGATCACATCCCTTTATTGCTGGATACAGGGAGGATTATCAGAAAGCATGCGCCTTTCAGATTGGAACACAGGTGGCTGGAGCTGGAAGAGTTTCAGGCAAACTTTATTAAGAGGTGGTCAGAAGCAAGCTTCGAAGGGTCAGCTAGTTATGTGTTCAGGAAAAGTTACAGAAGGTAAAGGCTCAGATTAAAGAGTGGCGGCTAACACGGTCCAGGGAGTCCAGGAAAATAAAAGAGGAATGTTGCCAAATTATTTCTGAAATCGATATAGAGAAAGAGGATTCCATTATTGATGAGGTAAAGAGAAAGAAGAGGTGGCAGGCTAAACAAGCAATGACAAGTTGGCATTCCAAGAGGAAATCCACTGGAGACAATGTTCCAGGGTACAATGGCTGAAGAAAGGTGATAAAAACACCACTTTTTTCCACAAGGTGGCAAATGAAAGGACTAACACAATAAAAAAAATGCTTGTGAATGGTCACTTGGTGGATAAAAGTGATGAGATATGCGGTGCAGGCCAAAATTAGATGGTCTGCAGTTTTCTCATCTATCAGTGGATCAGGTAGCAGAGCTGGACAAGCCTTTCTCAGAAGAGGAAATGTTAAAGGTGTTGAAGGAGATGGAGGGGGATAAGGCCCCAGGGCCAGATGGTTTTACCATCTTATTTTTTAAAAAATTATGGAAGGTGTTAAAAGCGGATTTGATGAAAGTATTGCAGGAGTTTCACTCCTCTGCTGCTTTAGAAAGAAGCCTCAACTTTTATCACGCTTATCCCTAAGAAAAATGGAGATTCTGAGCTTAAATATTATAGAACAATTAGCTTACTAGGGAGCGTGTATAAAATCCTTGCAAAGCTCTTGGCCTCAAGACTGAGATTGGTGCTGGGATCCCTTATCTCCTCTTCTCAGGGGACTTTTGTTCTTAACAAGCATATTCAGGATGGGATGTTGACAGCCAATGAACAAAGAGATTCTAGAAAAAGGAGTGGAAAGAAGGGACTTGTGTACAAAATTAATCTAGGGAAAGCTTATGACCATGCTAACTGGGCATTCCTAGATTATATGCTGAAAAGGATGCACCTTAGTCAAACCTGGAGGAATTGGATGAAGGTTTGTGTCTCCACACCTAGATACTCAATTCTACTCAACGGACCTGCAATAGGTAACTTTAAAAGTTGTAGAGGTCTTAGGCAAGGAGACCCCATGTCCCCCCTCCTACTTGTTGTCTTGGAAGGGCTGAGTAAGATGATTGGTAGAGCTGTGGAAGGTGGATGCCTAGAAGATTTTCAAATAGCTAACAATGGGGTAGAAATTCCCCTACTTCAGGTTGCGGATGATACACTATTTTTCTGCAGTACTTAAGCTGATCAAGTAATATCTATGAGGTATATTCTTTGCTGGTTCGAAGTGGTGTCAGGGCTAAAGGTCAATTTGGCGAGAGTGAGATGATGGCTCTTGGGGATGTTGAAAGCTTGCAGTCCTTGGCAGATTTGTTGGGGTGCAGGGTAGGAGCTCTTCCTTCTTCCTATTTGGGGCTGCCTTTGGGGGCCAAATGCACTTCTAAAAGTATCTGGTCCTTAGTGATGGAGAAAATGACTGGTAAGCTAGCTTCATGGAAGGCAAGGTAATCGTCTAAAGGGGGTAAGCTAACTCTTCTAAGAAGTGTGTTGGCCAGTATCCCTGTTTATTGTATGTCTTTATTTCCAATCCCCTCAGAGATAGCTCAACATTGGAGACAATTATGAGAGACTTCCTTTGGGTGGGTTGGAAAGACTCTAAAAAGATCCACTTAGTCAATTGGGACCAGATTTGCAAACCTATCAAAGACAGTGATCTGGGAATCAGATAACTGAAACCCTTCAATCTAGCTCTTCTTGGTAAATGGTTCGTTCTGGAGGTTCTTAAAGGAGCCCAACAAGCTTTGGAGGCAAGTTATAGCACAGAAATATGGCATTCACGCAAACGGGTGGGATGCAGCTGAATCTACCCTCTCGTACGGGTGTGGGGTGTGGAAGGGGATCTATAAGGCTTAGCCTCTTTTTATGAAAGGAATTTAAGTGTCAGGTTGAGAATGGTGCAAGGCTGTATTTTTGGCATGACAGCTGGTGCTCAGAGTATCCTTTGAAAGATTTGTACCCACATTTATTTCTCTTGGCAAATGATAAGGACGTCAACTTGTCAAGGTAGCTGAGTGTTGTAGACTTGTAGTGTGTCAGGTGACTCTTGTCTGGACTCCCTACTTCCGGAGGGACTTTAATGATTGGGAGGTCCCGCAGGTGGCAGAGCTGCTGGAAAAGCTGCAAGGTATAAGGTTAAACCCCGTTTCCCCAGATCAGCAATGTTGGCATTGGTCCAAACCTGAATTGTTCTCAGCGAAGCCCCTTTTCTCTAGTATGGAGCCGGTCAATCCAGACTATTTCCCCAGTTTTCTAGTTTGGGGTGGTTTGGCCCCCTTTAAAGTGAAGTTTTTTTACTTGGGTGACGATTGGAGATAAATGCTTGACAAAGACTATGTTGATTCGAAAAGGGGTGGTGCTTCCAGACGCCTCGTGTGTTCTATTTGGTAAGGGAGAAGAGACTTCCAGTCACCTGTTTCTTCACTGCAACTTCTCTTCAAGAATCTGGAGTCACCTAGTTAAGGCCATTCACCTTTCTTTTTTCTTTTCTTTTTTTTTTTGATAAATCCATTAACCTTTCTTTTTGCATGCCTAACTCTGTCAAATCTCTTCTTGAGAGTTGGAAAGCTGAAGGCCTATCCCTTGGCAGTCTTGTGGTCCATTTGGAGGGAGAGAAACAGGAGCATCTTTGATCAAAAACAGATCCAAGTAGAAAAGGTGATTAACTCAGTTGTAAATGAGTTGAGAGAGTGGCTGAGCTCAAATATGCAGTTCAAAAGAGATGTTTCTAGTGCTGGTGTAGTGGTTAATTTTTTTGAGGTTTCATGAGGTATCTCTCTTGCACAGTCTTTGTGCAGTGAACCCTTCCTGTATCTTTCATTGTGTTTTCCTTAATAAAATCTTGCTTTATCTCTTCAAAAAAAATACTCTGGCTATATAGATATAAGTAGGAAGCCAAAAAATGTAAACCTGATCTATTTTCTTAACAAAGTATCTTGACAAAATTATTAAATTCCATATAATTCTGAAAATCAGATAAGATGATAGTATGGAACATTGACAAAAACAAGTCTTATCCTACACAACACTTGCAGGTAAGATCAGATGTTCACCAGTAATTTATTTTAGAAGCAATAGTGGTTCTATAATTTCACTTAGTTTTGTTTTGAAAAAGAAATAGTTTCCATTATCACTTACATCACGCAATTTATTTCGTGGAAGCATCCGTAGGACAGCTTTCCGAATAACTTCAGTAGGATCCTTGGCCAATTGGTCCTTTAAACTCCTTTCCTTGAGGTGGCCAACATACCTACAAGTTAATAATAGATTAATGTTGAGTCAAAGAAACAGTTATACATAAAACACTTGATGTCCACAATGAGAATGACTATAACCATTGGTACTTGCCCAGTATGCCAGCGATAAAACTTATCAGTCAGTTTCCTCCCTGTGACACAGACATCTTTTGCATTGAGCACAATGCACATATCACCATCTTCGCGGTAGGGTGTGTATGTGGGCTTATCCTTGCCTTGAAGAACAGTGGATATTTGGGAAGCCAACCTCCCGAGGACCTATGAGAAAATAGATTTATGATATTATTATCTACTTAGAAATCAAAGAAAGAAAAGTAGTATATATATATATATATATATATATATATATATATATATTCCACCAAGCCAAATCAATTCAACAGATTACAAAATTTTAAACCCTATCTTACCAAAAAGTCCATCAGGTTACAAAATGTCCTAATTTTCTACTCATTTGACTTGCCAAAGCTAACATTTCCAGCCCAGTGTACATCACATGTTTCAATCCTTGTAAAAGCAAATAGAGAAAGAATGAAATAGAATACAACCTGACCTTTGGCATCAAATACTCGCCATCGCAGACCTTCCAAATTGATACGCCTCAGGCCAGCAAGTGCTTTCTGCATGACACATGCATTAAAAGAATAAAAGGGAATTCAGCATGTGGTTGGTTACCTAGAAGATGAAGTTAAGAAGCAAAGTGAAATGACAATAATACTCTTAAATAGTGATCTTCAATGGTTTGTGTATATTGCCAATATAAAAAAAAAAATGCATATTAATTTAACTCATGCATATATAGAGACAAGATAACAAGAACAACCTAACATGGATCCCAGTGGCATGACACCAGAAAAGAGACGGGAACTGCCACTGGATAAGTCTCACCATAGAAATACTCTAGGTCATAAAAACCATGCACTACATTTTTTATCTTTTTGAGCAAAAGTAACTATGATTTTATTGAAGAAAAAGAGGTACATGAGAAGTTTTACATCAAGAAGAAAAACAAAGAATGCAAATTTTTTTTATCAGCAGAAAATAACTTATTTTATTAGAATTAATTAAAGCAATAGTTAATACAAGTTGATGACAGGGATGTCATCCCTAAATAATTTCCAATCCACAGTTACAGGAAAGACCAAAAAATGCTATAGGTTCCCAACAGCCCAAAGTATTTCAGGTTATAATTTTGCCAAAGCATCTGCCAACCCATCTGCAGTCCTTATCCAGCCAAAAGTAGAATTGAATCTCTTTGCTAGGGTGTCAATTTCTCTGAAGGCATGTCTGTATTTCCAAGGAGCCAAGCTGAAATTCTTGGACCAAGAGTGTGAATCTCCTTCAACTTCCAATTCCCTTGCTCCAATTTGTACTGCAAGCCTAATCCTTGTAAGAGAGCCATAATTTCGGCCCGGACTAAATCTCCAAAACCGATTGATCCTGAAAACAGGGCCACCACCACTGTGCTGTTTTTACTGTTATAGCTTCAATCAGTTCCTCCTTTGATTTGCTCTTTTCATTAAAGATTCTCTGATTTCTTTCTTTTTTTTTATCAATAACTTGAGACTTTCATTAGGATTAAAAATAATTAGACAAGCAAGGAGAGATAAGCTTTCTTAACTCTCCTGCACATAATGGAAATAAAATCAAAAATCAAGAAAGACAATAGATTACAAAAGAGCCCAAAACATAGAATCCCTAGTCACCCCTTGTTTGGCTAATCCATCTGCAAAGGAGTTAGCACTTCTTTTGACCCAATTCTCTGATTTCTTTCTTCCCACACAATCCAAATCAATGCTGTTTTTTCTGTCCTCCACACGACTCTTCCTCTCTTCTTCTGCTGCCTTGAGAAACTTGAGTTGAATAAGCCTACCACATGTGTGGGTTCCCATCTGCAACCAAAAAGAGAAAAATGCATTTCCATAGACAAGACACAAAAGGGCAGGTGATAAGTAAATGAGGAAGGGTCTCACCAATTTCCTTGCAAAGGATACACACTTGAGGAGAGAAGCACTTATTTGGCCTTCTTTTCTATAGCAAGTCACAGGTGTTGATCTCCCCAAGGAGCACTTTTTTTTATCAGCCTCTTCCAGTTTTCCCAAGGAGCACTTCCCAACACAAAGCTTATACTTTAGGAGGGATAGGTCTGCACCTGATTTCTTTTACCGGGAAAATTTCCCCCAAAGGTTTTGACAAGACAAGAAGGTTAAAAAAGCAAGCATAGGAGAAAAGGCCATCAGAAACTGCTCTGCCAGAGAGTTTTGTTCCATGGGGATCCAACACAACTCCACATTCATTGAACCCAATATGCCTCTAGCTTCTGCCAGAAAATGCACCAATCTCCAAGGCCCTCCATCTTTTTCCCTTAGTCATCTTACAGTATTGACAGAATCACCCTCAATGGCTAGACATGAAATGCCTAATGGTTTTGCAAAACGAAGCCCCAATAGGGCCGCCTAAATTTCTGCTTTTGTTGAATCAACTGGTCCTAAGGGACCATTGAAAGCCCAACAAATATTCCCATCTCTATCCCCGACTACACCTCCAACCCTACTAAACCAGAGGACCCTTGGGCACTCCCATCAAAGCTTAGTGTCATCCCTTCCTTCCTTGAATGGCGGTAGGTATGAGCATCCCGAAGAGGAGAAGAGTAGAGGACTTCCACTAAATTTCTATGGAGATCATTCAAAGAGAACCCAGCAAACTCTTCTGTATTAACTGCCCAAAAATTACAAAGAAAGGTGATATAGGAAATCAGGTCTTCAACTATTCTAGCTTTATTCTCAAAGACCTTGCTGTTTCTTTCTACCCACACACCCCACATAGTTGCTTGAGCTACCAGCCTCCAATACAATTTGCCTCTACTTCCTAACCGCCTACCTTGCCATTGCCACATAAACTCAACCATCTGTCTAGGAAATACCCAACTGAGACCAACTATCCTGAGGAAGTAACACCAAATCCTCCTGGCTACAGAACAGTGCAGAAGAAGGTGCTCAACCGACTCATCATCACTTAGGCACAGAGGGCAGACATGCGGAGAGATACACCACCTACCTTGGTTCTTCTTTCGCAACAGGTCACAGGTATTTATTTTCTTTAAGAATGACTCCCCCACACAGAAAAAAAAAAAAAAGAAACTTTAGGAGGAATTTGGGAGCACCACACTTTCTTATATGAGAAGCTAATGTTGAKCTCACTCAACACAAGAGCCTTGAAAAAGGAATTCAATGAAAAATTTTCCAACAGGGTTAGGAGTCGAGATTCTTTGATCAGGGGTATTAGGAGATAGATAAACCTACCTAGGGGAATGTAACAGGTTTGCAATCTAAGCTTCTCTTAAGGGCCTTCTGAGATTTAGGCTCCAAGTAAATCTAAGGTTGAAGGGGTAAGGCAAGAGGAGATTGTGGCTTCTTGGGATTGAGATAGGTTGAAGATTCGAGGAAAGATAAACTAATACAAGCATTCCCTACTTTTTTTATAAGTAAATTATTTTATTAGATCAAAAAGAGAAACTAATACAAGCATCCCTTGAGAGTTTCGAGTTATGTCCTCTCAAAACAAAACAAAATCAAACTACAATTGTGCCGAATACAAAAGTTCCCTAACTGCCCCTTGCCTAACAAGACAATCAGCCAAAGCATTTGCTGATCTCCCCACTAGGGGTGTCCACGGTTCGGTTAACCGAACCATGGGCATATTTTATAAACTGAATCGGTGGTACCGGTTTTTTCATTTCTCCAAACCAAAACTGAACCGGTACCACTGGTTAACCGGTCCATCGGTTTCGGTTTTTGACTGGTTCGGTTCTTCGGTTTTTTGGTTTTTTATATTTATAATATATATTATATAAATATGTATAACATTATACTATAAATAATAAATGATATGTAATATATTATAAATATTTTAAAAACATATCATATATATAATATATTTATAAATAGATTATTATAAATATWACATAAGTATATATTTATATATAATATATAGAAAATATGCAACATATATTAAAAATATATATATAATATACATATAAATATATATACCGGTCGGTTCGGCTAACCACCGATTTTTTTGTAGGTTAACCGAAAACCGAACGGGCCCTTTGGTTTTTCAAAAAATCCAAACCGAAACCGAACCGATCGGTTCAGTTAACCGCATTTTGTGGTTCGGTTTTCCCGCTTCGGTTCAGTTTTTCAATTTTCCATGGACACCCCTACTCCCCACTCATTGTGTTCTTACACACAAATTTCTTGTTAGCCACTTAAACTTCTTTACTTCATTCCTAAAGCACCACACTACAGACTCTAAGTTCTGCAGCTAGCTCAGTACCACCTTAAAGCCCCCTTCAATTATTAGCTATTCCACACCTAGCTTGAGTTGCAAACTATACACATTGAAGAGTAGTTAATAACTCCACCCTACTGGAACCCCAACTCCTAAAGGACCCACATAAAAGAATACCACACTTCCAACCACATTCCTCAGGACCCCTTCCATCCCAAAGGGGCCTGGATTACCTACTACTTCCATTAACATTCAGCTTCAAAAAACCTTCAGGAGGATTGCCACTTCTCACCAATTCCTCCAAATATCAATAAACAATTGGTGGAATAAACCCAAGGATTTAAACCAATGGATAACTCTATTCAAGACACAATCCTTAAGCCCTTGTTGATTTCTTTCCTTGGAATATTCTGGCATTTCTTTCTTCCCAAATTGTCAAGATAGCACTTCTCTTGCCCACCTCCATAATTCTTCCTCTTCTTTGTTGCCAAGCAAAGGTAGAAGGATCAAATAATATGATTACTTCTACTAGAACATTCCACTTGCACCCAAGCATCAAGAAGAGCCAATCTCAAATCTCTGCAATAAAGGAAGAGGAGATTAGTAAATAGTAACAGTTCTCACCATGAGACCTACAAAGGATACACCAATAAGGTAAAACACAAAGGGAAGGTTTTCTCTTTTGTAGATTATCCAAGGTCTTTACTTTTCCATAGTACACTCCCCAATAGAAAGCCATAAACCTTAGGAGGAATAGGCTTGCACCAAATTAATTGGGAAAACCTACTACGAATGAGACTAGCAAAGGGACTTGAAGAAAGAAGCACAAGAGAAATTTATCAAAAAAAAGAAGCACAAGAGAAATTTATCAAAAAAAAAGAAGCACAAGAGAATGACCCTTTAGGCCATGGTATCCCAAACCTTTTGTTTGGTTCAAAGGGATCCAAACAGACTTTATCAAGAAGACACAACAAATCGGATAAACACTCAATCTCCCCATCCCTTAAACCTCTATGAAACCTGAAATCCCAATTTGGTGCCACAGGAGTTTCCAACGAAGAGAAAAATTTTGAAGCAAACTCTTTTTTGTACCATGAGACAGAGAATAAATAGGGGAAAAGGTCCTTCAAGGGAACGTCTCCAATCCAAATATCCTCCAAAAAAGGACAAAATTGCCAGCAGACATCATACCTAATAAAGCTTTGAAACTAAGGAAGGATACTGTGAATTTGCTTCCAAGGTGCCAGATTTGCCCATCGTGATACACCAGCATCCCATCAATTATTTGACTGAGCAGGATATGTTTCCTACCACCTCATGCCACATCATCTCTCCAGGGGCCACCAACCACAACCACTCCCCTAACAAAGTTGTATTCTTTTGAATTATATTCCCTAAGCCCAAGCCACCTTCCTCTTTACGCTGATATACCACCTGGTCCACCTCCCACCTAATTATGTGGTTCTTTTCTTTTTGATGAATAATTATGTGGTCCTTTCTACTTTCCCTTGGTTCTAAAGATAGTCTCTCATTAACTTCTCCAGTTTCTTGGCTTCCCTAATTGGGATCCTAAAGGCAGACAAAATGTAAGCTAGTATATTAGGAAGTGTGGCTCTCATCACAGTGATTCTACCCCCCAATGAAATTCAATTTTGTTTCCCCAAGGTCAATCTCTTCTCAAATTTCTCTACAACTGGGCACCAAAAACCACTCTCCCTAGGGTTAACCCCTAAAGGAAGCCCCAAATAGATCAAGAGCCAAATTGAGATAGGGCATTCTAAACACTCCACAACAGCCTCCACCTCACTAACCTCCAAAATGACACCTGCTATACATTTCTTTTCAAGACTGATTCTCAAATTAGAGAGAAATACTTTCTAAGCTCTTAATCAACACCTTCAAATTTCTCACTTTCTCAAGATCACTCCCCTCACAGAGAATTAATATGTCATCTGCAACCATTCCCTACTTTCATCCATGGCAATATTTCACGCATTCACGTTGAGAGACCGATCACCCAGTAAGGGAGATGAGTGGTCTAGATATTGAGTTAAATTTATAATATAATGCCTGTTTGATAAACTTTGACAAATGTCAGTAAAAGAAAATTAATAATGAAAACAACTAATAGAACAATGAACAACTACCCATGCCAATAAAATAGGGTATTGATGCAATTACCTAGATTTTGAACCAACCCTATCAACTATCTACATACACACTAACCACCACAAACTTGCCTAAGCCCCAAAGAGTAGTAGTGGGGGTTATAGCAAGTGTTTTAGGCGCTCATTGTTTTCATGCCATGACAGTCTTATCCTAACATTTTCTGCTTGGAAGCCCCTTACTAAAGTTAACAAAGAATGGAAAAAGAACAATTTAGAACAGATACAGAAAAAATAGTACTTAAGATGAGATAATGATAAGGATGTACTAAATTGCAGTGCCAAATAGGATGTGAGCTGGATACAAGAATAATTAAATTCACTATGCAGCACAACTTCAGATTTATTCTGCCACCATAACCCAAGCTTAAGCTTCCAATTCAACTTTATCTAGGTTTCCAGATCAAAACCCAAACCCATAATACAGAGAATTGGTTTATCGTAATACCAATAGAAGTCAAAAACTTCAGAACCAAATTTCTAAAAGTACTAGAAAAATGAAAAGAATCACTTCGCATGTCTTGACAAAGAATCACTATGTGAGAATGAGAAAGGAGGAAGGAGAAAGTGGATAGATAAAGCTCAAGCAGAGCAACAGCAATGGAAACAAAGAAAAAAGAAAATGAGAGTAAAGAAAGTGAAAACCCACCTTAATGTTCCCAGTGAAAGCACCAGGAGTGGCCGTCATTTCTCCTCCTAGCTTTCAATCAACGCTCACACAACTATCAACCAATGCAGTCTTTGGTGGACCTGTAACGTGATATAGATGGCAAGATCATCATGTTCCAATGCATTATGTATGGCCCTCTAAGGTGAGAGAATATCAACTAACCACAGTACCAACTATAGACTAAGACCATGGGATAAGATACTTTTAGGGTTTTAGCCTAACTGAGACAATGGCATTAGTATTCTTTTCTAACCACAGATAAGTGAATAGTTAAGTTTACGTACAATGCTTAGGAAGACTAATTGCTTTAATAAGAACGAATACTAATTGATTTTTAAAGTCAGAGAATATCAACTAACCAGCGTGCCAACTATGGCTTCAAACCCTAGGATAAGATATGTTTTGGGTGTTCAACGGTCTCAAGGTAATGGAGATCAATGGGTGATGGATTAATTATAGCGATCCTTGGCGCTCTGCTGCTCTGTTCTGTCCAATTGAAAAGGTATGGCCGGTCGGTGAAGAAGATAGAGAAGTAAAGGGAAAGGGACTGGCGGCTGCTGTTGAAGCTTGGATAGAGAGAGAGAGAGAGAGAGAGGAGAGGACCTAAAACGATTTGATCGCTGCAACGTTCGAGGGGTCTGGTCCGCTCAGACCAGAGTGAGGAAGAAAAGAGAGACGGAGCTCGAGAAGAGGAGACGAAGAAAAAGAAGAGATGTTGAAAAAAAAAAAAAAAAGTTGGAGTAGGGTTAAAAGATTATGGCCATTTTTGTAATTTTTGGATAATATAGGACATTTTAATCATTTCGTCGGGGCAAATGAAAGAATGGACCAAGATCTAAAAGAATGGACCAATGAAATTCTCAACTATAGAATCTTTTTGGTTCAAGAGTAGATGACGGTAGTTTTAGATGAAACTTGGTAGGGTGAGGTTTTAGACAAGCTGAGGGGATTATAAGTAATGTATTTTTCGGTTAATGAAAGAATCCTAATTGGAACTTTTGCTTGATAAATGGTTAAATTGTAGATATTTATGATGACATTTGGTAGGTAAGGGTCTGTAGTTATATGAGTTCATTGGTATGATTTGGTGGGTACAAAGTTGGGTTTGGGTCAACGATGTAAAACCGAGGGGTTGAAGGTTTTTGCCAATGAGGAGGAATGAAACAGAGATCTAAAGGTCATAGTGGAGATCTCAGGTGAAATTGGGTAGATGGATATATTCTAAGGAATTTGGTATAATGGATCTTAAATCAATTGGGTAGATTGGGATATAACCACTCAAAGTCTTTTAAGGCAAGTTGTGTTGGCCAATTAGGTGCCTTGAAATGGAATTAGGGAAGGCAAGTTGTGTTGGCCAATTAGGTGCCTTGAAATGGAATTAGGGTTGGTTTAAGAGACAATTGGAGGAGTTTTCTCATGACATTTAGCAAGTTGATCAAGGCTGAGTTTTTGAGCTTAATGGCATAGTTCAATTGGTTTAGAAGTATGCTGATGGGAGCTTTTAAGCTCAGAAGATTTCTACTAATAAGAATTGCTGAAATTGAATCTTTAATTGGTGGGTGGAAAAACATTAGGCTCGGTTTGGAAGCAGTACAAATGCAAATATGTACAGCGTAAATACATACAAAGTAATACAAAATATAAGATTTTGCACTCTACATATTTGCATTTGTACTCCTTCCAAACTCAGCCTTAGAGTTTGGGTTGGAATTTGGTAATGGTGGGGTATTTTGGGAATTTGCATTGAATGGTTAGATTTGGTTATGTAGCAATGATCGAGACAATTGGCTCGTGTTGCTGCCAAATATGGAGCCACGGGGAGTTGAGCGTGACCCATAGGGCGTAGACTCTCCTAATGAAAGTACTGGCTCTACGAGGCCGAGGGCAGATGCCACGGGGAATGCCCCCGGGCCTCCTGAAGTGGTGGAGTCGAAGGAGGTTGACGAACCTACACCTAAGGAGTGAGGCAAGGCCGAGCACTAAAGAGTGACATTGACGCGTTACCCCCGCTCTTACTTCAATATTGAGCAAGTGAGGGCTCTATCGAAGATGTACCATATCCCAAGGGACTATAGGGTTAAAGTCCCTTGTGTTAGTGATTGGTTGTGGCAACCTCCCGAGGGGGAGGTGTGTGTCCACGAGCACTACCTCTAATTCGGCCTCTATTTTCCATTGCCTCCCCTTGTCCCATAAATCCTCAACTAGTACAATATTTCCATCAGCTAGGTTGCTCCGAATGCCATTAGGACCATAGAGGTCGTGTTGGTGATGGCTCGCCCCCGAGATGTGATTGTGATCCTGAGAGTCTTTCGAGCTTTGTTCGCATTGAGGAAGCATTCCGATGGGGAAGGTCTGTGGTACTTCCAAAGCCGATGGGGTATGTTAGTGGACAACCCGTTGCCCGTCCACAACTGGAAGAAGTTCTTCTTCATTAGTCATCCACAAGGTTGGTCCTTCCAGTTGAATTGGGGAACACCGGACTTGTTCCTCGAGAGGAGTTGGCTGTGATGACTCGGATTCAGCTGACTGGGATGATTCATGCGGCACCCTTAGTGGAGGAGGAGGCCCTGGTGTTGACTGGCTTCAGTCCTGCCCCTTGGTATGGGCACTCCTGTTGTCGGCTAGTTGTGTCTCTTGTTCAAGTTTCACTTTCGTTTTTCTAACGTCGGCTACTCTTCTTGTTTGAAGAGATGAACAGTGGCTTAAAGAGAGGTTGTTGTAGGCTGCAATAACGAAATCAAGGAAGGGCCAACCGAGGGGATGTCGAGGAAGGCAGACGTGAGGGGTCCACCTCGACCCAAAGGGAACACCGAGGCTGAGAAGAGGAAGGCGGCCACACCAAAGCAGTCGGCTAAGGTCCCTTAGGAGCAGAGGGCCAAGAAGGTCGTAGTGAGAGACCCACAAGATGATCTCCCGCTAACAGCACGTCGATTGTCCTGCCCCAACTAGAGCGTTAGGAAGGGGGACTCCTTGAGCAACATAGGTGCTGGTCGCACGTTGATCACCAATATGATCCCTACTGGGGATAGGCAGTCATGGACCCAGGTGTCTCCCCAGGCCGTTCGAGACCCCCTGCTTGACAAGCTGACCGAGGTATGAATGAACTTCTACTTCTTCCATAACATTGTCTCCTGCTTTGGAATTTTCTAATTGTTGTGAGATTTTTGTGTTTTTGCATACATCTTTTTGTGTTGTCGGCCTCTGTGACAAGATGGAAGTGATGATACAGTAGTTGTGCATGTCGTAAGAGATGATCGAGCAGTTGAAGCACCAGTTGGTTGAGGAGCGGGCCATCTAAGAGGCCGCTACTAAGTAGGCACATGGGGAGCATGAGTGTTGGAATAAGCTCGAGGCTGACGTGGCTACCAAGAGGGAGTAGTTGAGGGTCGCCAAGGCCTCATTGGACGAGGTGGAGCATAAGCTTCAAGTGGCCTCCACTTGAGCCATGGAGTAGTACAAGGCCTCGGAGGCGCACTAGGTAGACCTAGCCGAGTTCAGAGTCACTTCCCACCTGGAGGCGATTGAGAACACCAAGGTTCAAGTGTTGACATCCTTCCCCGACTTCAAGATTAGCCAACTGGGTCCTTGCTTTTAGAGCTAGTAGGCGATCGAGGTAGTGGGTGTGATCGAAACCCATGACAGCGCCGAACAACCACGCAGTAGGAGATGGAAGCCAACGAGCACATCAACATCGAGGCCATATGGAGATGCATGTCCAGGGTCGAGGCTTCTTTCTTTTTTCCCTTTTGTAAAGGCAAATTTGAATGAAAATACATAGAGTTTTTTGCCATGTTGAGTTTCTTGTAAAAATGTGTCTTTTCTTTTTTCTTGTTGTTTTTTCTTTTCTCTCATCCAAGGGGCCTATGCCTTCCCCGAAGTGGCAAATTTTGTAAAGAAACTCGTAACCGCTAACTTAGCTACTTGTGAAGGCACTCTGCCTCAAGGATTTTTAGCTAAGGCTGACTCCTGGTGTCGAGGTTTTGGGACCCTCTGCCTTAGCGAAAAGGAGAGGGGACATCACAGAAGTTCATGTTAATTAATGGACTTACAGGCCGAGGCCTAGCGAATGACACTTGGCTGAGGTTGCAGAGTGCTTTTGCCCTGGAGTAGCATTAGTTGCTTAGTGTGTTGTACATCGTGTTTCTTGTTAAGTAATGGGCCAATGTTGGCTCCTTGGCCATCACAAAGACTCACTTCTTTCGAGGGTTTTTGAGGTCGAAGCCAAGGTCATAGGTCGCTCTTCACAATGGTCGAGGTCACCGAAGTTCTTGATTTAGTAAAAAAGGCGACTACGCATATATGTCGTATGCCTTGAGCCAACATCTAGTCCGAGTGTATAACCTTAATGAAGATTGTATTCTATAGTCGGTCATTCAGCTAAGGAGTCCTGGCAAACTAATAAGATGAGAGCGTTTACACTAAAGTGAATCAATCCAAGGAGAGAGGAACTTGCACACTTTATTCACAAAAGTTTCAATAGCCTTGTTTACATCACTGATAATACATTTGGAGGTTTTCGGAATTCCATGTACAGGGTACTGGTCTTCCACTCATGTATGCTAGCAAAAAGATGTCGGGGCCGACTACTTGCTTGATTTTGTAGGGCCCTTCCCAATATGGGCTAAGCTTTCCAACACCAGACTTGGGAACCATAACCTTCCTGAGGATGAGGTCACCTTCATTGAAATGATGCTTTATGACCCAAGAGTTGTAATACCTGGCAACTCTTTGTTGATAGGCCATGACCTTGATTTGAGCTTGCTCTTGGACACCTTCCAACAGATCAAGGTTGTTCCTTATCTCTTCATCGTTCTTAGCTTCTTGGTACGCCTCGATTCGAAGTGTCAGTTGGCCAATCTCTATAGGGATGACAACCTCTATTCCATATGTCAAGTTGAAGGGAGATTCACTTGTGGTAGTCCGAGGTGTTGTCCAATAGGTCCATAGAATGTTGTATATCTCATATGCCCAAAGTCCCTTGGCCCTGTTTAGTCTCGCTTTTAGCATGTCCAGAATAGTTATGTTGATGACCTCGGCTAGCTCGTTGGTTTGGGGTAGCCAACCAAGATGTACTATTGCTTTACCCCTAAACTACCACGCCATTCTCTGAACCCAGCATAGTCAAACTATTAGTTGTTGTCTATGACGAGGAATGTGGGGGATGTCAAAGCGGTAGATGATACTTTTCCAAAAAAAGTTTTGGATTGCTAAGCAATGATGGTTGCCAAGGGCTCGGCTTCGACCCATTTAGTGAAGTAATCTACTACAATGACAAGGTATTTCAAATTCCGGTGGTTGGGGGGAATGGTTCGAGGAGGCCCATTCCCTATTTGCAAAGGGCCAGGGGCTGCTAAGGACTGAAAGAGTTGTCACAGGTCGATGGAGGATGTTGGAGTGCCTTTGGCATCGATCACACTTTTGTACCAGCTCGATAGCAGCCTTCATAGATCTCTCGGAGCATGTACTTGCCTTCCCCTCAGCGGAGGCATCTAAGGTAAGGAAAAGTGAAGGATCTTCTATATAGCTTGCCTTCGAGCAGGGCATAGCGGGCTGACTACCATCGGACCTTCTTTCTTCATTCTTATCGGATGGCAACTGCTTATGCTATAGGTAGGCGAGGATGGGATCCATCCAATAGGGCTCGTCTTGGACGAATACATTTGCTTCTCTTCTATGATAGGTTGTACTAGAGTCTTAGTTTGTATTGTGCGGCCAAGGGCCGATCCCAAA